TTCTCTTTTTCCCTCATAAATGTATCTTTGTTTTTATCTCCACAACAAAAGAAAATGATCGAATGTGTTAATTAAATTCCCTTCAGTTCTGATTTCTTTTGTTTGTAAAAGGGATTCAAATCTTTGCAACACAACTCTGATGCGTTTTAAAGCCAAAGCGAGAAGTATGATGTAACTGCTTTGGAAATGACATTATTTGCTCATCATTTGATATATTTTTAATGATTTTATATCCATTGTTCAAGGAACTACCTTTTTTTTATATATAGATTTGCCACATTATGTTGGCTTTTAGATTTATGCTAATTTTGCATATCAAACTTAACGTGCGAATCTGCTCTTTTTAGCTCTTATTTTATATCTCACACATATAGCTTATGTAGTTTTATCACACTGTATGAAAATGTATTGTTATTGAATAAAAAAACACAAATAAAGTTTCACATGCATATGTATATTTTATTTTGGTGATGTTTTATTTGTCATAATGTTTGTTGTGTTATGGTTGGTGATGTAGCATTGTTATCCTTGTAATTGTCACTGTTATTATGAGTGGTATGACTGTTATTATCATTATTTTCATTGTTGTTATCATCATTATTACTGTCATTATCATTTTTATAATCGCCATTATCGTAAGTATTATTGTTATTATCATTATCATTGTTTTACTATTATTACTATTTTTACTGTTATTATCATTATCATCACCATCATCATCATCGTCATCGTCATCGTCATCGTCGTCATCATCATCATCATCATCATCATCATCACCATCATCATCATCATCATCATCATCGTTATCATCATCATCATCCTCATCACCATCATTATCACCATCATCATTATCATCATCATCATTATCATCGTTATCTTTATTGCCATCATCATCATCATCGTTGTTTTATCATCATTATCATCATGATATTCAAATTAACTAATGCACATAATTAACCAGTACACATAGCTTAAACCAAAAAAAAGAAAAAAAAAAAAAACAATTTCCCCACTTACAATACATAAAAAAAACAATTAAAAAAACAGTGGAAAATTCATCTCCATTGGACACAAATTCCCTGACACACGACCACGACCACGAGAGAGGAGGGAAACCAAACAAGATTTGAACATGTGCGGCTCCTCTTTGCTAAAGACTTATGGTACAGGATAATGAGCGTCTCTCGATTATTTCCCCCGAAGGACCAGTTTGGCTTAACGTCTGAGTGTTGTTTAGAGAGGAGAGGGAAGGAGTAAGATCCGGGGGATGGCACTGGCACTGGCCCTCTGCCTGGGTTGAAATTCTTTTTTTTCTTTTCTTTCTTTCTTTCTTTTCTTCCTTAAGTGTTTGTATATTTATTTATATGAATATATGTATATATGTATATATATATA